CTGGGGAGTGGGGGGGAGGAAATGGAGTGAGGAGCCTGGGTGCTGGGAGAGCGGCCGGCTGGGGAGCCATCCCGGCCCCTCTGCAAACTCCGTTCGCCCTACAATAAAAAACGGATTAAAACTGCTGGAATGTGGCCACTGCCTGGAGCCCCCAGCCGCCGCTGAAGGGGTTGTTAAATCAAGTCTTTGGCGGTAGTGAGCACGTTTGAGAAGGGGGAGCCGGCTTGCTTTTACTTTCCACCAAGGATTTTGTGTGTGTGTGGGTGTGGGTTTGTGCTGAAATCGCAGGAACGCACACCCAAACAAACTTACTTAAACAGAGAGCGAGAAAAAACTCGACCAAAAAAAAAAAAAAAAGCCTTCAAATAATCTCTGGGACTCCGAACAGCCGCGGCAATCTTACAGCCCTTTTCCCCCCATCTACTCCCAGGCGCTAGCCCACCCCGCCCTCCTGCCACCGCCACTGAAAATTTAAAAATGAAATGAACGCGAAACAAGAATGCCATTTCCTTCCTAAGAAACGCCTCCCTCCTTGGTGATCCCAGGCTGAAAAGCTTCACAAAACCATGCCCAGGTGAAGGCGAGACACCTGGGAGTGCCCGATGAAGACCCTTTGGGAACCACCTTCCCAGTTGTTTCCAGGGAGAGGCTTCCCCCGCTGACAACCTGCTGGGTTGCATCAGGGTCTGTCCTCTAAGGACGCACGGGGCGACTGGGAGCCTTAAAATAGATAAAGTTAATACTGACTGTAATGTGCATAAATTGGATTATAATCTTTAGGCATATTGGTGACAGCCAACGTAATCCATCTCTGGGTATTAATCCATTTAGGCTCCCGGGTGACAACCCGTTGCAGGAGTGTTCCAGAGTCGCTCTTCAACACATGCTTCAGCTCCAAATGTATTTTATTTCTGTGGCCATGGATAGAGTATCAAGCCATACATGGGGTGAAAAAAAAAAGTTACTAGCTTCCTCTAGAAACACAGACAACCTTTAAAAAGGAAACGGATAAGATCTAGACGAGATACGAAAATGAAAGATGGGTGTGACTTTGTTTCGTTAAATAAAGTTCGTGTACCTTTCTGGCTCTTAATTCCTTTCTTGAACTGGTTTGGTGGCGGCTGTTTTCCGGAGTTTATCTTTTGTTCACTACACTTTTGCTCCGGCTCGCCAACTTCTTTACTTCTTTTCTCCCTGTCCTTTTGTCTCTGTTCCCCTTTCTGAATCAACTTTGTTGCTTTCCTCTTTTCCTGGAGCCCAGAGACCATGAAAGCACAACTCGGCCCTTGCTTTGAAGACATCAGAATAACGGGAAGGAGGTTGCCTGGGGCCCCGGGTTCTCCTTGAACACGTTCACTTCTTCCCACTGATCAACGCTGTAGATGACTGGAATTAGATAGGATCAACCACTTCCAGCCAAGTCTAAAGCAACAAGTTTCCAGCTCAAATAGTGTGTTTCTCCTAAAACTGTTGCTCCCACCAGTCAGGATTCAGCACAGAACGGAGAAGATATCTGAGGGAGGGGGGAACTTCAGTACAAGTCCAAGAACTTCAGCCAAGTCCATAAACGCATGTCATCTTGTCTGTACGTGTGTGTTTGTGTGTGGAAGCACTAAGTTTGCATACACACAGACCTGCTGTGTGGGGATATATAAATGGGGGTGGGGGGCTATCTGCTCTTCCTCGTTACACCACTTGTCAAATAACCAAATTGTAGGGGTTATTCTGGAATGATGAGATTGGAAACTGAAGATTATATGAATGTCTTTTGTAAAGTCACCAAGTGGTGACCGACTATTCAGCATTTGCTCCGATCCCAGAGTTGGTGTCTTGGTATTCTCTCCAGAAACTGTGACTTGTATTTGTAAGAGGGATTCTCAGCCCACCTCTACCCCCCCACCGTGTGTGTGTGTGTGTGTGTGTGTGTGTGTGTGTGTGTGTCTGTGTGAAATGTTTGCTGAATTCTCATGTATTACAACAATCATAAATAAATCAGAGAATCTGACGGAGACTTTCCCTAACACCCTTCCTTTCTCAAAGAATGCTTTAAAACCCCTGAATGTAAAGTAATTCCCAGTCTGCAAACACTGGAGATTTAAAACATGCCGGTAGATGGCGCACAGAGCCCTTCCTCCAACGTCCTTACGTGACCCTCTTCACAACAAAAAGACTTGGACCAGGAAAAAGAAAAAGAAAACACAACCCGGAATACTCTAGGTTCAACTTTGAACAAAGGAATTTACACCAGTCTTTCCAGTTTTATTTGTAACTGTTTTAATAAGTTGTCCGTTAACAACAATAAAACTGTGATAGCAAATCTATTTCCTGTCCAGTTATTTTGAAAATCTTCACAGTTTTAAGTATGAATGTGGAAAGTCAGTACTTACAATGTAAGTGTAGAAAATGCACTCAAAACAAATGGAGTGGTGGATCACACTTGGAAAGCTGAAGCAGGAGGCTCTAGATGTCAAGATAAATCACACCTACTCAGCATTGTCTCAACCACAAAAAGGTACCAAAGAAAAATTTTTTTAAATGAACATCAATGCTCGACAGCAAATAATAGGAAAAATTAAAACAAAGTGATCAGTGACAAAAACATCTCCTTGTCCAAATAGAAATTATCTCATGGATATTGCAATGTATGGTACACTATGAAATCGGGTTATTCTAATGAACAGAAAAGTGATTAACATCAAATGAAATAAAAACAGTGATGAAGAATGAAAAAGGACATGTATGTCCGAGCTTAACTCCTGCACCACCACCACATTGCCGCTGGCATGGCCCCAGATTTTCATCTCATTGTTTTGCTAGTTTGGAACTTCAGACCAGTTTGGATGTTTCTGCCAGAACAAAAGGAAAAGATAGCCTTTCAAATGTAATTAGGGCATTATAAAGCACCCTAAAATAGATTTTACCTATTTGTATTTATTGTGACAGGTTATTGGTACACAAACTCAACTAATCAAATCAACAATTAGCCACTGGGCACCCTTTGTTGTATGGATTTGCTAGATAATAGAACAGACAGTAGACATTTTGCTAGCTATACATCCAGAATAACTAAGGGGTTTTTCTCATTATGATCTTTTGTTTTGTTTTGTTTTTTTGTCTTATGAAATACATCCACACATGTATTTACCAAAACTGGACCATATGTCAAGAACAGAGGTAGAATCTAAGATTGTAAGAATGATAGGGGTCTGGGGTCTGGGAGTGCAATTCAGTTGTTAGAGTACATACTGGAAGTCCTAGGTTTGCAAACACTCACACTCCCTTAAACTGGGTGTGGTGGCACTAGTAATCCCTACACTCAATGGGAGATAGAAGTAGGAGGACTTAAAAGTTCA